TTTGGATGCTCTGATGCTAACTGAGTCTTCTGACTCCTCTTTCCACGATGACAGGCATGGAATATTCTCTTTGTGTGGCTGGAACATGATGAAGCTAATGGTAATAAATGATACAGAGAAGCGATCAAGACACAATGAAGAAGTTGGAGAGGGAGAGCTGCGATGTTGATAGGATATAGAATCAGACCTTACTGCTCTCAGTACAGCCTTATTAGTAATTAAAGTTTGATATATTTATCAGTCTCTGTAGATTGCCTTCCAATCAATGGCACTGCGCTATCTCCATTCTCACAATCGCCAGACAAATACAATCCCTGGATGTTGTGTAGGAATGTCAAGATTCAAAATGTAGCTTTAATATCTATGACTTAACACAAATAGAGATAATGATTATCTATTTATAACTCTCTTGTGCTAAGACTCTTACATCTTCCAGCTTACTTTGCATGCATAGGCTGATTCTTAGAGATTAATAGGATGATTATAGTAGCTTACCTTATAGGGTGCTATGGTCGAATGTATACCAGGATTACACGGCTTATCTTGCAGGTTTGGCTATGAAGGTGCTCTACAGGATTTATCAATTTCTATGTATGACACAACCCTGCCTTAGGTCACAATAATAGAGTTTGAACTCGTAGATTATCAATTGGTGGGATATAGAGTAATATTGAAATCAAATAGGCCACTAATTCACGAAATCCGCGCAAGGAAGGAGGCTGGAAAATATCCATCAGAATATCTATAAAGCTAGAACAAGGCCAAGTAATTTCCTCGGCCAAACACTAAAGGTTCTGATTTTGAAATATCATTTCACTGAACTTCACACCAACCCATCTGAGCTTGATATATCTAACAAGATGCATTTCAAACTCCTTGCTCTCTCTGTTGCCGTTATTACAGGCCTCAGTATAGCCGCTCCTATCTCAGGTAATCCTTTGCCAACTTTGTTCTATTTAATTTCTATTGCTGATTAAGTCTACTATAAGAGAGTTCAGAGTCTGCTGTTGGCAATGCCTTCTAYGACAAGTACCAGGAGAAGCGCGACGATGGCTCTGCCGTTGGCAATGCCTTCTACGACAAGTACCAGGAGAAGCGCGACGATGGCTCT